CCCCAAAACCCCAAAACCCCAAAACCCCAAAAGCTCTTACGAAAATAGAAATTTGAATATATAGAAATTGAAAAATGAACGTTCAGTAATATAATTTAATATTAAAAAATGATCCCTGTCAGAGGTTTAAATAACTCACAATCTCAAGACCCCCCTGATTGTCAAGAATAAATCAAATAAATGTGGGCTAATGTGCCAACTTTTTGCAGGTAGATTAAAACTCTTAATAAAACACTCTAGATTCATATTCATCAGCGTAATAGGAGTATATCTTATGTCATTCGTCACCCCTGAAATACTTGGACTCTTAGTGACAATTCCATTTCCTATTATCTATAAATTTCAAGGTATCAATAAGTTTACTAAATTTTTAGTGTGGAGAATATTTACAGGTCCATTTGTTCATACAGATTTGATCTAACTACTATTCAGTTTGATGTCATATATGCCAACTGCAATGCAATACGAGAAAATCGAAGGAACTATAAAATAAGCTCATAGATTTTTCCTAAATTCTATTCTTATTGAAGTATTATTTGTGATATCTTGCTTCGCTTTATCGCAAACTTATTCATAAGCATATATCCTAGCTCCTTCTATTGGGTTATGGCCTATTTTATTCTGTGATATCACAATTGAATGCAATAAAAGTCCAGATCTAGCCAGAGGGTATGGTTTTTTCCTTATTCTAACCAATTATTAATAGACTATGTTGTCTTCCTATTCAGATAAAGTCAAAATACTATCCCTGGGCTTTACTTGCTATATTTTCTTTGTTCTTCGGATTTAGACTCGATTTATTCATTGGACTAGCAGTTGGATATCTGAATATCCTAGGCTATTTGAAAAAATTAGATGTTAGCATTCACAGAGCAAAAATTTGGGAAGCAAAATACCCATTCAAGCTATATGCTTAACAACCACGTAAATACTCAATTTCTTTTCAACAAATTTTAGATTTCGTATCAGCTGATGCATCAGCTGGATTACCAACTTTTGTTAGAACAGCTCCACCACAATAAAACAGTGCAGCTAGATCTCAACCTGCTCAAACATAACAACCAGTAAATTAAAAAACAATAAAAAATTTAGAATTAATTCTCAGCTTTCTAAGGTAGAGGTGTTGCCCTAGGAGGAGCTAGCTCTGGAACATCTTCTAGTTCAAGTTCAACATCTTCTAAGACTAATACATCTAAAAGCAGTTATGGCTCTACAAGTACTAACACTTCAACATCATCCTCAACACAATTAACCAATGAATAAAGAGCAAGATCTCTCGTTGGGCAGTCCAAGTTGATTGACCAAAAGGGAAATACTTCCAAGGTAAATGATTCAGCAAATACTACTCTAGATGGCGAGGACAATGTTGGTCATCCAACAGGGGGTTCACCAGCTTAACAATATCTAAAGGTTAGAAACAACACAAGTGATGATGACATAGAAGTAAATCTTAAATGAAAAATATGGAACATAAATAGGGAGAGAACTGACTGACTAAAAGATAAAGAATCGATTCTCTCTTTTAATAGATGTGAACAGTATATTTTTAACTTTAATAATTATAAATTAAATAACAATTATAAAGAATCATCAAAATGAACGCAAATTTTGAGAAGATATAAGCCATTCCATACTCTGTTATTAATGATAAGTCTCTTGCCCACTAAGATTACCTCTTTAAGTTAATTATCATTGGAGATACAGGTAAAATATCACATTCATTGCTTACATTATATGATAGGTGTTGGTAAAAGTTGTCTATTAGCTAGAATAATGGATAATGAATTCAAGATTGAACATTAGGTGACAATAGGCGTAGAGTTTGGATCATTTGTTACAAAGATAGAAGAAAAGATAGTAAAGCTATAAATATGGGATACAGCAGGACAGGAATCATTTAGATCTATTACTCGTATTTTCTACAGAGGAGCCCATTGCGTTTTTCTGACATATGATATAACGAGAGATGACACATTTGTGAATGTAATAGATTGGTTGAAGGAGATTAAATAGCATGCCAATAGTGATATAATCATCTACCTAATCGGTAATAGATGTGATCTAGAGGAGGATAGAGAAGTTACTAGGGAAAGAGCCATAGAATTTTGCAAATAATATAATATCGATAGATTTTTCGAGACTAGTGCTAAAACAGGTGATAATGTTGAGGAAGTTTTCTCAATCGCATCAAAGGAGTTATATCTATAGTCTAAAGAAGCTCCTCAAGAGGAAGATGATACAATCCCAGAGGACAAGGATGATGCTAGCAAGAAGAAGAATATCAAAGTAGGCAGTAAGACAAACAACAAAAAGAAGGAGGGAAGCAAATGCTGTTGAAAATTAGTAGTGAAAGTTAGCTTTGTCAGATTCATCCACCCTACTTATAGATCTAAATGTTTCTACTCGCTTATTATTATGAAAGTATAAACTAATTTATATAAAAATCAATCAAAATATAATTATTAATTAAAATGGATAGTTATTAAAATCAAAGCTAGATCCTACACCGTCAAGTAAGAAGATGGCTGTCTACTAGATTTAGTCCAACATGCGCAGTGTTTTCAAGTGCTACGGTTAGAGATATCTTAAAAAAGCAAAGCTCTGTTACCCCTGCTGAATTGTTTCGACCATTTGCTGAAGTTGGAAATCTGAACAATATTTCCCTCTAAACTTGTGAAAAAAATCAACCATTTAAATTGAAAAATTTTAAAGTTGATTTTCTAGACTCAAATAAGATTGATGGGCATAATCAGCATGACCAAAGCATGCTGATAGATTTCATTATTTAAAATTCCTCTCCAAGTAAATTCGATGATCAATCTAAATCTATCAAGGAAGTATAATTTGCTTTAAGCAATCAAAAGGATCCAGACACTGTAAGATTTTAATTTTGAAACTTTGAATTTACTAATAACCAATTTATAGGCAAGAAGGGCAATTTAGACAGTATAAGATCTTGATAGAACAGATAACCTCACACCATGGTTTTCAAAATGGAAGAAATAGTTCCTATAGACCACTAAATTTTCTGACCATGAATTATTACATTAGCCTATATCTTTCATCTATTTTATTTCTGCTACTGAGCATGACCCTCTTGGAACTATAGACATATTGAAAAGAGCTGACAATTTACCTAGTCTTTACAGAGAGGGAATCTATGATGATTCTAATCAAAATGTGCTGTAGTTTGTATTTATTCTTAATCCTACTGATAATCAAAAAGTTTATTAAGATACCTATGATACTGTTAAACAGAAATTCCCACCAGCTTTTATTTATGAGGTGCCGATGACAAAAGGAAACGATGTATAAGCAGGTGAGGACTTATGGTCGAAGTTTGTGGATCTCGATGAATAGATCATAATGCAAGAATTGCACTTAGAATCATAAGAGAGAGGTAGATCATTTTCTTAAGAAGATAGGATGAAGATAAAAACTACTGTCAGAAGAATCATTGAGAAATAAATACTTCCATTTATAGAAAGGAAAATAAGAAATCTTGAATAAAATATTGCAAATACGAGAAAAGGTATAAAAAACTCACTTAAAATGTTATGGAAAAAGCCAGAGAGAGGGGAAAATGATGGACTCAAAGAATCATTCAAAATGAATAAGGAGGAACTTGAACTTTGCAATTTAGTAGATCTTTCTTTTGTAACTCAAGACTACGAGACTGCTTCAATTAATTCTAAGATTCCTTTTAATGACTTCAAAAAATGCAAAGCATTTAGACATTCTGCTAGCTGTTAGGAGGTGCAAGCATTTGCCACAATAGGATTCGATCCTAATTATACTTAACCTTCAACATTTAAAGAGGTCGATGCAATGATAGATAATGCTTACTAATTATATCACAAGTCAAACAAATCTCAATACCTGATTAGATTTGCACTGCTTGTTTCAGAGTTATATGATTCACTGGAAAGATATCAAGAATCTGCTAATTATCTTCTAAGAATAGCTAATGAAATAAAGGATCAATCAGTAATTGTTCCATTATTCCAGGAATAAGCAGCATATAAATATCTTTATCTTAAGTAATACAGAAAGTTTGCCTTACATATGATATTAGCTGGAAAGAGTTATGAGAAATTGATGCTTCAAAATTATTCATTTAATTGCTTCACAATAGTTCATCCATTCTATCAAAGACATAAAGGTTGGAATGGTATAAGATTTTAGTTGTATTCAAGTCTTGGAAGAAATTCTTAAAATATGGGAGATATTAACCTTGCTGTTAAGTTCTTTAGAAACTTGCTACAGCTTTGCTGTGAGTTTGATCACTAACAAGAATAAAAAAATTGTCTGAATGAGTTCTTAATAGCAGTATAAAATTGGTCAAGATAAAAATCTATTAATTTGATTGGAGTTGGTGGAGAATAATAGCAAGATTAAAAGGCTCATATTGGACAGCTTAATCTCCCAGTTATACTTGAAGAGTCGATTGAAGTTTTCATCAGTTCTGAGAAACTACATTCTAATAAGCAAGAGAATTTAATTAACAGATATTATGTTTCATATCCGAACAACTCTAGCAATATTATGGATGACAACTAAGAATATGTGATTTAGTAAAAGGCTGAACTAAATTCTGCGAATGTACCATGGAAATTCTTAGCAAAGTAAATATTTGAATTTATGAATGAGGAAAAGCGCCGTGCACCTGAGTATGAAATTAAGAATGATTCATGCTAATTTAATGAGGAAGAGATTAATGAGTTTGCAATTTTTGATTGTAGCTCAAGAGCGAGAAAGAGAGATCTTACAATGAAAAAAGTTAGAAAAGCTTACGCTAATGAATCAATTATTGTCAAGATTCTCATCAAGAATCCTTTGATGGCTGACATCTCTATCAATAATCTTAGACTAGTTTGCAGATATGAAAATCAGGAGTCAAAGAGTGATGACTTTGAACAATTAGAAAGGAGTGTAGTCCTGAGATCTTTGGAAACAAAAGAGATTATTTTAGAAGTATTCCCAAAGAAAAGTGGAAAGTTCATTATTGAAAGAATAGAATGGATTTTGTTTGATGTTGTCTCTTGTGCTTACTAAATGGTTTAACCGATTGATAAAGACAAGTCACTACTGACATAAGAGGAATTAGTTGTTCCAAAGAAATTAGTGGAAAGAGAACACAATTTCATTTACGATATTCTCCCATAATCTGGGGAAGTTATAGCTCAAATATAGATAGGAGAATCTCAAGATTAAACAAACTTTATTTTCACTGAATTCTAGAAAGGTACATTAATTCTTAAGAATATGTCTCCACTTGCATTAAAGAATGGATATATTGTTTGCTCTCATCCAATGATATTTGGTTTCTCTAGAATGAGAATTTTCGACTAGATTTAGCCGAATGGATAATTTACATTACCATTATTCATTAGAGCTAGTCTTATGCAATAAAATGAAATAAAATTCTTGGTAAGATATGAAACTATTCTCAAATCAGAATTAGAACAGCAAGAAAGTGCTTCAAAGATGACAAAATATAGATTTGTGAGATTGATGTTTAACATTGACTCTTAATACGCTTTTTAACCTAAGAGACATGTACATTTAAGTACCAAAAAGGCTAATGAGCATATATTCAACATATAAATAGTAGACAACATAGTTCCAGGCTCTTTCTATCAAACCCCAAAGATACAAGCTATTGAAATTATCAATAGATAGAAGCTTTGGACACTAAAAAAGAAAGATAATAAAGGCTAATTCTTTATAATAATTCCAAATAGAGATAATGATAGTCCTCAATCCCTACTTTCATATGAATAGAATGAAACTTAAAGCATACTAGAAAACGAGAAAATGAAAAATTTCTATGATTAAGAAGTAGCTTTTGTAATGAACAAATTTAAAATATAACCAACCTAAGAGGAGGAGGAAGTTGATATAGTAATATAATGGACTATGCCTTAGTTAAATAAGAATGGGTTCTATTGCTTATTTAAGATTCCTCTTTTAAAGGTTTAAAAGCAGTTGACTGATCAACAAAATAAGCTATTAAGACAAAGAAGTATGAAAACAAAAGAGGACTAGGCGTTGCAATCAGCTAGAGAATTACCAAAACTTAATCCCCTACATATTGCCTACTCTTATGAGAAAACAGTTAGTCACAATTTCAACTCAGACCAAAGTGGATCAATTATTCCAGCTATTGTTAGCTTCTCACTTAGCATTTCAAATATGATTCAAACTAAAGATTTTTCAATAAACTGTAGAATTGAGGCAATAAATGAATGGACATAACTTTCAAATCCATCAGATGTTAGTGAGGCTGATACATTCCTTTGGGTGGGTAAGACTTAACACATCATCAAAAGTCTTAAGACAAATGTAAGTTAATCTTATTCTAAACAAAATTATAGGAAATCAAGAGAGTTTAATTAAAGTGTGCTATCCTTAAGCCAGGTGTTTATAACCTTAATAGATTTAGGATCGTTATCAATGATGATGAAAGCTAAGTAAAGCATCACTTTGTGAGTGAGATAAAATTGCCAGATGATATCTTAATAACAGTACATGACAACAAATCTTTGTTTTGATTCCCTAATAATTGTCTTAATCAAATTTTTATGTGAAAATTCAAAGATAGATCAATAATGAAATCATGGGGTTTTGGGGTTTTGGGGTTTTGGGGTTTTGGGG